GGACTGCACTGACTCTGCAAGGGCAGTATCCACTGTGTCAAGGAGGATGAAATACACTGTACACGCCAATTCAGTGGTGTATTTCAGAAGAGTGGTATTTCACTCTTCTGTGAGTTTTTATTTCATTTTGCATCAGGGCCTTGAGAGTCTGAAAGTGATAAAACCACTGTTTCTGTCTCAACTGTTGCATTTTCAGAGCATTGAAGTGATGCTGTTCTCTCATTAAGGCTTACTTAAGTGAAAACATTTCAGAATCCAATATTTAAAACTGTTCCAAACTCTAAGGAGTTTCAAGTGCACACAGTTCTTGGCTTAAATACCAGTTCTTAAAAGTCCTTTGAATTTCAAACCATAACATTTGTAAACCAGTCTTATTTTCAAGGGTTGCAAGGGCAGTGTTTCTGATCCAGTCCTGGCTAAAGAATGTACCCCCTGTGGGTCTTTAGCCAGGTGTTCTGAGCCTTGATCTACAATTATTTGAAACTAGAGATAGGAGAGAAGATTAAATAAACAAATTCTACAATTATTTGGTTTGGAATGGACTTAAAGCTCATCTTGTTCCAATCCCCTGCCATGGGCAAGGACACCTTCCACTATCGCAGGTTCCTCAGAGCCCCATCCAGCCTGGCCTGGGACACTTTCACAGATGGGGCAGCCACAGCTTCTCTGGGCCACCTGTGACAGGGCTTTACCACCCTCACAAGAAAGAATTTCTTCCTTGTGTCTAATGTAAACATGCTCTTTATCCATTTAAAACCATCCCCCCTTCTCTTGTCACTACACGCCCTTGTTAAAAGTCCCTCTCCAACTCTCACGTAGCAACTTTAAGTACTGAAATGTGCTATAAATGTGCTGGGCCCTTCTCTTCTGCAGACTGAACAACCCCAACTCTCTCAGCTTATCATAGAAAGTACTTTGGATTATTAATTATCAACAAATTTTTTTTTTTTATATTTTCCTACTCCCATCCCATACACATAGCACACTATCCTATACATAAGAGCCAAAATATTAACAGTATTTTGGCACTTCAGGTTCTTCAGGGAGGCCAGAAGAAATATTTTTTAAAAATACTCAAAGCTTTCTCTTGAATTCTAGAAAAGTGTGAAAACATACAAGACACTATCCTATACATAAGATCCAAAATATCTCCCCTGGATTTGCAAAGTAAATAGGACCTTTTTTTTTTTTTTTTTTGTTCTTTTTAAATAACAGTATTTTGGCACTTCAGGTTCTTCAGGGAGGCCAGAAGAAATATGTTTTTTTTAAATGCCCAAAGCTTTCTCTTGAATTCTAGAAAAGTGTGAAAACATACAAGGTATTTCTAGTAGTGATCCTTGTTCTGATGCCAGGCTATATTTCTTTTCTCAGTTCTTGTTGGTATAAATGGACATTATAATGACAGCTGCTTAAAAGACACACAGATAGAAAACTAATGCAGTCATTATGTCCAAAATTTACCCAATGTTCTGCAAATAATCTACAGATGACTAAGAAAAGACTTTTGAAGTAATACTGGACCTTGACACATGCACTGAGATATTTCCTTTAGGGCCTTGGGCAACGTGGTCCAGTGAAAACTGTCCCTGCTCATGGCAGGGAGGTGGAACTAAGTGATCTTTAAGGTTTCTTCCAATCCAAACCATTCTGTGATTCTATGATCTGGAGGGGGCAGAAAGAGAAAATGCCCATGGTCATTTCTAGATAGAAACAGGAATTTCTCATAGAGCAATGTCTGTAACAGAAGCTTGCAGGATGCTTTGTGGTTTGGTTGTTGCTGTGTATGGGTTTTTCTAATACAAGGCATCAGAAATGTAAATAAAGCACTTACCTAATGTGACTGGAACAGAGAAAAACAAGTCCTTCAAGTGAGTGTCTTAAAGTGGAAAAGCACATCAAGTTAATGAGTCCTGATGAAATGACTTGCAGGTAATTTTTCCTTCAATACTCACCTTGAGTTGAATTAGACTAGGATTTATGATTTTAACATAGAACATAACATTATAATTGAAAAAAAAACAATACAAGTGAGGGTCAGAACGAGGAAATTTCTTATCTTTTTTTTCCCCAGACAGCTTCATTTAGACAACTCTACCAACTCCATTAGAAAATGTGCATTTTGGATCATTTCCAGGTTTGTAAAATCCAACAAATACCCAAATTGACACAGAAAGATTTTTATTTTTTTTTCAGACAGACAGCAAAGTCTATGAACAGAACTACTTTTGCATCCACCAAATTATCAGATAACCAAAGAACCTCAGAACTTCAGCAACTCTGCGTGTTCACTCTCTTACAGGAAGGGTCTGATGGGCAAAGCAGCTCATCCTGATGTGCTGGTGCCACCTGGGTTTGTGGCACTACAGGGGATTTCCTCCCCTCTGCCCCAGCACACAGGGACAGACCATCATGACGTGACCTTTTACCACAGAAACCTTGCACCTTTCCAGGCACGCAACTACACAGCACTCTCCTTTACACAACACCTGCTTCTGCAGAAGGTGGGGAGTGTCCTGGGGCTGGGGCTTCTCCCCTGTCAAACTGCAGAAGCTGGAGAGATGCTCCAGATGCAAAAAACCAGGTTGGGTACTGACCAGAGGAGCTCACTTTGTGGTAGACTGTATTCTGCCCATGCCCTGACCAGATCTCATAAAATAACTAATAGTTCAGCTGTAAATTGCAGGAAATAAAGATAATCCAGTATTGTGTGGCAAAGGTTTAATATCAGACAGAGAAAATTTTTCAGTTAAGAGTAGAGTTTAATTAGAGGTTAAAGGTATGTTGAACTTCCATCAGCATCCTGGGTACAGCTCATGATGTGTGAAAAGCTAAATACTGTCATAATGAGCTGTTGCTGCCATCTATTGAACACAAGGAGTGTGAACTACACAGATTTACAGTTTGGCTACTGATTTGAAATATTTGCTTGGCTGGATTAAGTAAAATTTCTGTTTCTTTAGAGCAATCGTGTTTCTTTCTAGATGATATCCAGAACACGATTTTGCCTTAGAAAAAAGCTGTGACCCTTTGGGAGATTCTGAATTCTCCTTTGGGACCCACTCCTGGCCAATGGGGGAACGGTGAAAAGTGAGCACACATAACTCCCATAACATGAAACATATTGCTATTAATAAGAAAGAGTTATTAGTTAGAGCTGCAGGGTTATTAAGATCTTGGAACACATTAGCTCTTCTTTAGCAATATCATGCAGAATCCATAAACTCTGCTGAGGATGGATACCTGCCCCATGTGGCAGCTGTGGTTTAGATGAGTGATCTCCCAGCTGGAAAAGCACTGGCAATGGCACTAAATTTCCACCAGGATGCTGAAGGGTGGCACAGAGGTCAAGCAGCCTGCTGAGGGAGTTCCAAGCACCAGGAGCTATCCCAGCCCCACTGCTTGTTTTATCCAGGGGATGAGTCTGTTCTTTTATGTCCCAGAAGCTGCCCCTAAGTGTAAACAGAGGCATTCAAGCATACTCATATACATACACATTAACAGCAAGAAACCTTTGTATTAACACAAAAAACAGCAACAAAGTCACTAAATGCAAGAAATCCAGTGTTATCATAAGGTTGGAATTAATTGAAAATTATATGCAGATACTGCTTACCTACAAGGTATATACATGGACACTCACAGCCAAATTCAGCCCTGTGGGTAAATAAAACCTTATTTTGTGTTGACTTCAATGAGGCTGGACACATTTGCTTAGAGATGTCTTTGGCTTGTTAAGGGCCACAAGAAGACTGGAAATGGCAGGGGAAAAGTGGAACATAGGTGGGGATCCTGCTGATCTTGGGGCACTGAATACAGTGGAGTGTTCAGACAGTGCACAAGAGCCAAGATTATGAGCTACAACAGCAGTGACTTCTGTCTAAGGTAGCAAAGGGATTTAAAGAGGAAAAAAAAATAATCTGGTTCTTTTTCTCAGTCTACAGTCACGCACGCGGGAGCTGCATTTGAAAGAACGACACCAGTGTGACATTAGCCAGAACAGCAAAAAGCATCCTGTATTCCTCTGCAAATTCCGCATTCCTCTGCAGATTCCGGGATTTCCACACGAGGGAGCTTCTGGCCCACGAAGCTGGCAGGGCGCTTCCTCCTGGGAAAGGCGGCAGCAGTGGTTCCCTGCGAGCCCCCAGTTCATCAGCCTGATTGCACTGCTCCGAGCCACAGCGAGAGCCAGCAGTGAAATGGTTAACAGATAATGATGATTGTCAGAGCTTGTTAACCACAATTATTTTCAAGACATATGTAAATCTGTATAAATACCTAAGTGTGGTATATAATCTTAAACATACTGTTTAAATCTATAAGCATTCCTGAGTTAATTTCACTATGGGAACGTTAGTTGCAACTTCCTGACTTCACTGTGTTTGAATTCATATCCATGAACATTAATTTAAAATTAGTCTAAATATTTGTTGAGAAGTAATCACCTGATAAATTTAGCTCTTTTTCATTTTTATGAATTATTCATTATCTCCTCTCTTTCCGTTGATGTGTTGGTTGTTTTCAAGAATTGAATTACTGGTTGATACTAAAAAAAAAATAAAAAATAAAAAAAAGGCAGCATTTCTAGTGATTTGTAAAATGTTTCCCTTAGAAACTTGACTGGTGACTATGAGAGCAATTGGGTTTGCCACCAATATTTTATGGTACTGGTTTGTTTCTAAAAGGGAGTTTTTCAGAGGCATAAGCAAGCTCATACAGCAAATAATTTGCAACAACAGCAAAAAAATCTGTTTATGTCTTGTATGTATATCATTCCTACTAAGGAAGTTTGTATTAGCAGAAGTTGGTGGAAATGTTTGGGAACAATATGATGAGGCGTGGCTGCAGGAATGAACAACCATGTGAAACTGCTGAACTGCAAAAAGCTCCTTCTGCCCAGTCATCACAGAAAATACCTGAGCTTGCCAAAGGAAAAGAATAATTCTGTTCAAGAATGGCCTCAGGCAAGTCTGAATGAAAAATTACCAGCCACCAGATATTACAAAGAGGAACAAACCTTTTCAGGAAAGCCTTGAGTAGATGGCAGCAAGGATCCTTAACACTGGCTAGTACAAAGGAAGTGACTCGAGAGCCTCTAGCACACAGAGGACCATCACTCAAACTTTACCTGTGGCCTGCATTCAGTGCAAATAGTGGAAGATCAGATGTTCAGAATAGAACTTACATTCCCAAGTCTAGGGCTGGAAGCCTAATTTCTGTCTGCCACTCATTAAAACAAGCTTTGTCACAAAATTAATTTAGTAGCAAACATAACTTCCATTCTTCCAACTCACTGAAACAGATAACATCTTCAATTTCCCATCGGGTATGTCTTTATATTTGTTACTTTCAAATCAGTTTGCTACTATTAATTAAATAACAAATCAGAAAATTACTTCTAAAATTATAAAAAAGCAAAACCCCTAGAACACACCCTCATGTGGTTAGAAACCGGTACCAGCACTTGCAAAACATCAAAGGCTTCTCTAAACATAGACTTTCATCAGTGATGCTGCAAGCCTTCATCTAATCTTTCATGATTTCCCATGCAGGAACATCAAAAGAGAAAGAAGAGAATAGCACTGTTCCAAAGCAACAGTGCTCTGTGTGAAAAGTATGTGTTTAGCTATAACACATAAAAAATATGTGGGAAATTATTATTTACATGAGACATATTTTAATAAACATCATCATTAGCTCCCTGTCTTTTCCTATAAGGAACAAGGATTTTTGCAGTTCAAAATCATGTCCAAAGCTCAAACGATTTCTGGAAGAAAATGAAAAAGAATTAGAAATGTATAAGCCTTCAAAGCAGGAAGATCAATTTATGTTCATTTTTACCTACTGAAACACATTCTGCATATTTCATTGTTTCTGTCATCTTGTTATAATCCATCCAAAGAGTTTTCAAAGAACATTAAGTCCTACAAATAAACAAACTGTGCATTAGATATGGAAGGCACAAAAATGCAAAAATTACTATCAAAAGTCTTACTTGCAGACTTTTGTTACATGAAGTATTTATATTAGTCAATCACTTTTTATCGCTGCCACTGAGAAACAGTTTTGGAGGGGGCAGTCCGAAAATCTTAACTGTCATTTCTATCCTACTAAAAGCAAAATTTCTGAATTGTTGTTGGAATTTTAAAGCAAACACTTTTCAGTGAATAATTAAAATAGTATTATAATTTTGGTTTGTAGTCTCTGATATAAGTATCACAGATTATTTTGAAAACATTTCATATTAACACAATTATGTTGGCAAAAGAGCTACACAGCAAATATCAATTTCTAATTCTAGAAAACATGTATCTTAACTTCATCTTTCCCCCTAGCACTGAGTATTCTCCTTCTCATATAGTTCTTATGGTTATCTTCATGAGAAAATATTTGTAGGAATTTTCATATGACCTGAAGATCTTACGTGCAACACTCAACAGAACAGTTGAATTGGTTTGAAATTACCATTAAAAACAACATAACTTTTTTTTTTGGTTCATACACGTGTTCAAGCAAAATAAGGGCTTTGGGGGACTTTGGTAGGTTTGACGTGTATGTTAAGATTTGATTCTGCCATACAAAATATTGAACTGCATGTGTAATACTATTTAAACTGTTTAAGTAAAAAAAAATTAAGAACATAAAAAAGGCAGACATAAAAATTAAAATTTTCTAGTTTATTTATCTTTTAGGTATTTGGTTTTGTTTTCCAATACACTTGCATTTTTGTAGTTCTCAGCTGACAGCAAGGGCCCATTTGGTCCTGTTTGCACATCTCTATAGGTCTGCCCATCCACCTTGCACACTTACAATGAGGAAGCAAGCACCAATCATGACTGCCTTGATCCTCACGTCGAGATCTACAGGGACCTGGATCCCGAAGTTGGCAGTGTTGGTGAAGACGTTGTTGACAAATCCAGACCAATACTTGGAAATTTTGCCAATCGTTGTCATCTCATTGAGAGCTTTTACCTGCACAAAGGAAAAACAGGCACAGACATAAATGTAAACAAATCAAGTGCACACTGATGACATCTCCACAGAATTAATGACTGTGTCCTGACATGTTGAGTATGCTATAGTTGTCAGGTTCTCCTTTTATTCTTTTTGCTGGGATGTTCTATTAGTGTCAAATTTCCCTTTATGAGTGGCACGCAAGAAAGGGTCTCAAGTTTGGAAGCATCAGCATCTTTACAGCGGACAAAAAGCGGGAGAAAGCAATCTTGAAAGTCTATGCCAGCTTTGCCTTTCTTTCACAGAGTTGTGGGTTTTTTTCCTCTCTCTTGTTTTTTATATTCTCCTAGCCCCACTGCTGTGGACCACTGTCCCCTCAGGGGACAGGAGTGTTCTCAGTCATGTAGCCATCTGCATGTTTCTTACAGTATACTGAAATTTCACACAATATCCACTGGAGTCTTCTAATATAGCTAATGAGCTGATAAGTTGATAAACCAAAAAATTCCTTTTTCTTAACTAAGTCAAAGCACCTTGTTCACATCAGAAAACTCTGTTCAGGGTTTTATCAAGTATCTCACATTCTCCCTCTCACCTGAGAAATTTATTCAAAGTAGAAAAACTTTTAAATCGTTAACACTTGTACAAAACATACCTCAAAGTCAACATCTTCAAAACAGCCACAGGTTGCATATGGGCCAACTATTTTTAGAACATCTTCTTTGCTTTCATTCTGTATAGTAAACTTTGGCAGAAAAGGGTCCCAGTTCTGTACAACGTACCCAGCTACTGTGCCTGGTGGGGACTGAACTTCTAGCTAACAAATAAAAGAAAACAACAAAAATGTTTTTAGCTGATTTTATATTAATGTATTTTTCCATGATAGAGTATTGTTTATATAATGACAAGATATATATCTACTGAATATAGTAACATATCATTTTACCAAACACTGGTAAATTGCGCAATTGAAGAACTGTCTAACAGTATTATTAAATACAGTGGACAATATGAAACTCAAAAGCTGCACCAGAAACCAACATCCTACATACAAAAACAGACTTTATAAAAGCTGTAAACTGGAAAAAAAAATATTGTATTAAGGCAATATCCTACAAGCTTATTTTAAGTAGCTGTACTACCAAAGGACCATTCCTTTAAAAAATCCTGACAAGGATAAATGCTAAGAAGGTAAGTGGATGAGCTAACCTGTAAAACATTTTCATAACACAAGAAAGATGTCTGAATAAAGGAGAGACAAAAATTACAGAGGAAAGACCTGAGGCTCTATGGGATCTGCATTTTTCACTCCAAGCAACTTGCTTCCATGTTCTGCCATTTCCCAGAGAAATATAGCCCTGAAGATACAGATCTTCAGGGCTCAGCCTCCAAAGAGATCTGCTCCCAAGACCCACCCCCAGACCCCAGTGGCCTTCACAGTTTCCATCTTTCACCCTCCTGGAGCTCAGTGGGTGATCTCTGCCTGTGTCAGTGCAAGTAGTGTCTTGGGAGAGACATCACCAGCCACCAAGGCTTTGAGTGGGATGTCAGCAAAGCCAGGTGCCATGGAAGGGCACAGAACTCATTCATCAGGAGTTGTGTCTGCCCAAAGGCCTCCCCGGGCCGGGGGGCTGCGAATTCCTGAATTGCTCCCTGCCACCCTGGAGGAGCTGCACAGTGAGGTGCTGGGAGACAAAGGGTGTTTGGGACCCCTCACCTGCTGCAGGAAGCAGGGGAAGCAGCAGCTGCTGCACCTCAGGGGTCTGATGACCCGGATCACCTCGCGGCCCGCGTTGTCCGCAATCCTGATGGTGAAGGCCCTGATGGGCGAGCACAGCCTGCGGTCAAAGCAGCCGTTCTCTTCCACTGCAAAGTAAACTCTCTGCCCCAAGGGGTTTTTTATCTCGTATTTGCTGCAGGTCTCTGTGCCAAGTATGGCTAATAAAGCAAAACAAGCAGAACATTAATATAATCTATGTTATTGCTTTAGTATAATCTTAGTGAGTGTGTATATATATATATATATGAGCATTTATTCTAGAAGTCTATGAAAAAAATTGTTTAAAAAATTGTTTTGAAGTAGCAACACAAAGAAAATATACAAATATAAGGAAATAGTAGTGCCAGGTCACTGTTTTGAAGGAATTAATACAGACTTTGATTTGTTGTACACTAAAGTACATATCACAACAGAGAATTCAGATCCTGAGTTTGTTTGGGTATTTTCTTGCTTTATCATCTGTGAAAAGTAACATCCTGAGACTACCCCACCTCAGAGATAAAGCTTTCGCCCAGCAGGTTATTTAATAATCAGGCTAAAACCATTTTGAATGGGAGAAATACATTCTACAGTATTTTACTAGTAGTAAAGTTTTACAGTATTTAATACTTGTCCATTACTTTGAAATTATGAGAAACTAAATAAGTAGAAAATCTTTTGCTTCATTTTATGTTTTCTGACCTTCTTTTGCTATTTGCTTTGTTTCTCATAGTATGTTACTTATTGTTAGATAAATTTTTCCATGGATTGGAAAGATGGTTAAGCTTTAATAACACTAAGAGGAAGGTGTCTGAGGGAGAGGACTGTTGGAGAGACTACTCACCCCTCAGTGGTTTGCTACAGAACAGGCAAACAATAAAGTGATCCTTCCCCACCCTATCACTGCATAACAGCCTGACACGAGGGCAGCAGGAGAGTTCACAACAACTTCAGTGAGCTGGGGGCAAGACCTGGTGCCTTTTGGGGACACCCCTGTACTAGCACTGTTAAAGGGTGACAAGGATTGCACCATACCTTCCAGAAGATCCACTTGCTGATGGATAATTATCTGGTCCAGCTGCTTAAAAATAAAAATAAACAAGATGGTGGGTCTTGGACAGGTCTGGGGCTGCCAGTGGTCACATGTCTATTTTCATTGCTCATCTCCCTGTAATTAGGACTTCTTTCCTTACAGAGGTGCACAGGTTGGGTGCCTGAAGGACATCTCAAGTCACACTTTGGACTTCTCTCTGAAATTATGGCTGAGCAATGTGACATTAGGTGCTGTGGCCATGTAATTCACTCACACGCTTGAAGAGAAATAATCTTCACTGAGGGAACAAGGCAGACAACAGCAACAAAAAGCAGAATCCACTCTTGCTCCTGTTGCTCTCTGTCAGAGGGGAAGCTCCTCACCCCAAATCCAAGGTTGGTGCTGGGCAAGATGGCAGTGCAGGAATGAATGAGCCTGGGCTCAAGCTTGAAATGTGCAGTGGCCACATCCCAAAGGATGTTGCTGGAGCAGCCCAGCAAGGCAGTCAGGGGATGCCAGCAATGGCACACACCGGCTTTGACACTCTGATCTCAGGAGCACAAACATCCTAAGTCTGCTAAATGGTCAAGCCAGAGTGCCAGAATGAGCAAAACAACAATGAAACAGCTGGCTGAAAATGTCTTCCCCCACAAGCTGGTTACAAATGCAGGAGAAAAACTGCTTGCCACGATACCTAGCTTTGCTGTGCTTATCGTCCCTCCAACATTGTCTTTCTTGGAGAACAGTTGTTAGCATTACAAAACCAGCAAGATTTAATTCCAGTCTACCTTTCAGTTTTATGTGACTTTTTTATGCCTATTTTATGTGACAGTTTTAGGCTTTACCAATCTCTTTGCAGTAATTTTTCTGTAAATTCCTGATGAACAAACGCTTGGCACAGGGTTTTGCTGTTACTCACAGCTGCAGACACAAAGCACACAGCGACCTTCTGAGACCACCAGATCACAGCTCTCCAGAGCCTGGATATTTTAAAATTGATAAATCTTGCCTGGTATGTATTCAAACTGTTGCAGACATTTGTCACTTGTTGTCAGCTCCTGCAGCTAGTTCAGGCTGCAAAGAGAAGCTGGTAAAAAGCAGAACTTCTTTATCCCTTTCATTAATCTCAGAAATGTGCATGCCAGTAATTGAAATAATAAAAAATATTTAGACATAAAAATATTCTCCCAAGAATCTTTGCTGTTTGTTGTTTGGGTCTTATGAGAGAGCTCTTGGAGCTCATAGGAAGGGCTCTGCTGATGGAAAGAGAATAAAAAAGTTAAAGATGGTAGAGCTATTTTAATATTTTAGTATTTATTTTAACATGGATTTCTTTTTTCCATGTAGACTTTCACAGGAAAAAGAAAATTAATGACCCTGAATTGTTAAAAGCTTTGAGTGATTTTGGTCGATTGGTTTACTGTGCACAATGTATAAACAATGTTAAGACAACACAGCAGTACCACTTGTTATCCTTGTTTTGCCTTTCACTGGTTTCTGCAGGGCATTTATTCTGATGCATTTTTATTGGGGCACTTGTGGATTGAGGGAATTCTGCACTTGCATTTGAAAGCACTCCAAGCCCTCTGGCTTAACAAGGGTCTGGTCCTCTTGAGCTCAGATATGTTAAAATTCCTTATACACAGCTAATTCTCAATATTCAGTTCTGTGGGGATCAAATTTACATCTGATCTGTCTAACCAAGCCTAAACAAAGAAGCTTTTTACAACAGTTAAACCTGACTGGTGGCACAACATGCAGTTGAAATACTCAGAAAATTCTTCTCCAAGGTTTCACCTGTCTATTCCTGCTGTGGGAAAAAGTTCATTTGATTTTTGTTATAGTCACTGAACTACTCTTTGAGCTGTGGCTGTAATTTGAAAGACAGTAATGAGGTTTAGGTAACTTTTTTTCTGCAGGAAGTTATTAAAGAGTGGTAGTCTTAGAAATCTGATGTATTTACTGAGGCAGAAGCAGTTTCTTGTCCTTCTCTGGTGCACCTCAAAAAACTGATCAGAATCATTCCTTCACCTGAACTCGCTGCAGGGTGTGGATCTGCAGAGTGAAATGTTCCCGGCTGGCCTTTACCTACAGGACACACGTTTTCCTTTTCTCTCATCCAATCCTTGGGTTGCTATTTAGAACAAGATTGTAGGGATCTCTCTGAGACTGACTAAATCTGGATCCTTGTGTCAAACATGTCATGGTCTTATTGAGAAATACATTCAGCTTTCTCAAATCTATCCAGTTATCTTGCCCAATCCTGCTGGAGAACATAATTTCTATTTGTTATTCTGTATTGATTCACAAGCACTCTCTGTATAATCTTTCTTCTAGTAACAAAATTCTATAAATTAAATATGTCTCTTTCCCACAGTTTGTTTACTCTCCTAGGCACTCAGTATGGTTCCCTCTCCAATACTGTTGCTTTTAGTCTACAGATAAAACAGATGGAGTCTTGTTTTAAAGGAGGTTCTCTATTCCCTGTGCACTTCCAGTAGCACCTCTCTGTGCCTGTTTCCAAGAGTTTGGACCCTCTTTTCCCCAACGTACACAGCACCAGAATGAAACACAGTCTTCTAGAAATCTTCCCAGTAGAATAAATAATTTCCAAGTTCTGCTAGAAACATCTTCATTCAAACATTTAATTCTGTGGAAATATCTTAGTCCATAAGCATAAATCCCAAGGGATTACCCTAGCAGCTGTGAATCCCACATGCATTCTGCAGGCAGCCCTCTCCCTGCTGCCTGTGGGACCTCCTTCATGCTCCCTCTATCCTGAATGAGCCCCTTTCATCAGCCACACGGCCAGCGTGGCTTCAGCATCACACACTAAAATGTTCTGCAGCGCACAGAAACTCGAGCTGTGGGAACATGCCAGCCAGCAGCACTGCACACATGCTTCCCACTTTTCAGACTGCAGAGAAAACTGAGAATCCTTAGCAAGAGCTGTGGCACAAGCCAAGAATAAGTATGAATGAGGTCTTCAGTTCCAGCTGTAGCTCTGAGAGTGACCTGCTCTTTTTTCTTAACGTCAGATGTAAAGCTTCTATAAAATGGAGTGATAGTATTTGCTTGCCTACGTTGTCTGGGTAAATCTGAGGTGTAATTCATGTTTGTACAGGAGCCTGAATATGTAACCTGCCAAATACTGACTAGCACAATCACTTTTAGACTAGAAAATGTCTTCCACGGTCTTTAAGCAAATGCTTGTGTAATTGACAACACATATCATTCTGTGCTCAAGCATCTTGAAATGAAAGTCATCACTCCACATGAAAGACTGCTTCTGAAGAGTCTCTCCATTTCATTAGCTATCTAGGTAGCTTAGCTCCAAATATAAAATACATTCAATTTCTGCTTCGATACAAAACTAGCAGAAACGTGTGCCTAAAATACACATCTTCAGTGAAGTGAACATTTCCCAGCATCACCAAAATGCAAACACAGCAGAGGAGTATCAGAATTATGATCTGACTATGCTGGGGGCCTGATTCTGTCCCTGCCCATACCAGGCAGGGCATTGACATCTTACTCAGCATGTAAGAGTGGCACAATCCAGCCACATGTAAAACACAAACCTCCGTCAGTGTCAAAGCAACAGCAGGGAGTGACTCTCCTGGTAAAAAGGTTCAGGAGAAGATGAAACTTCTGGAGCAGAGCTGCAGACCACCTGAGCTCCAGGAGCAGAGAGATTTCACAGAGCAAAAGGGACAGCCACATGTTTAGCAGTAGGATGGAGAAGACTTAAGCATTCATTTTTCTTCCCCACCTATGACCTCTGCCTCCATTTTCAAGCATTTTCCTCTCTCAGGCATTAGCAGTTTCTTCCTCACACAGAGTTAATGCAAGTTTGTAGACACTCAGCCTTATGTTCATCTAATTTCTATAAAATGAATGGCAACAATGAAGAAAAAGCTTATCTCTCCTATCTTCCTTATCTCAATAGAATCAAACAACAAAAAAGTCTCTCCATCTCAGCCTACCCCGTTCCCAAGAGGAAAAACCCAAACAACCTCATCCTCCAAGGCATCAAAGCAACATAAAAGGAAAACATAACAATTCTAACAGTCAGAAAGATTCAGGACCTGGTTCAGGTACTCCAGACCAGGTGGCAAATTATGAGTGTGTGACGTTTGCTTCCAGAGACTTGTTGGTTCAACAGGCATATTCTGTTGAGGAATGTCAGAAGAACCAGGGAGATAATCCTTAAAGATTAATTTGGTTTGTCCCTGAGATTCTGCAGGGGAAAAAAAGAGAGAAAAAACACAGAAACATCAGGACCAAAGAGCAGCTGGAACAATAACATCATTCTGCACATGACTGTATCAGTACTTCAGGTCAGGACCCAAAAGGAATCTCATGATTGTCCATACATTGAGCACTGACTATAAAGCTGCCTCAGGATGTGCAAAGGGGAATCACTGCAAAGGGGAATCACTGCAGATGAGGTTAAATCAGGAGATGTGGTCTTGGAGGGCACCTGATCTGCTCTGCCAGCTGGTGAGCACAGAGCCTGTGTGGCGAGGCTGGAGCTGGCCTGGGCTCACACACAGGGTGGCCAGAAGCCCCTCAGCACAGGTTGCCCAGCCCTGCTCCCTGTGAGCTGCCCTGTGTGCCAGTGTGCCCTGAGCTGCTGAGGGCTGGATCCCAGCAAGATGCTTTCCAGCATCCTGAGGGCATTCATAATTTCTCTTAATTAGAGATAACCTTTCCAGGGATCTCAGATTCCCCAAGCTGGATATTACAACCCTGATATCAAAGTCTACACAGCCTCTTATAGTGTATTATTCATTATTATCTTAATGAATGGATCAGATATCATTATGCTGTGTTTTCTGGTTTGCTACCACAAGAAGTCCTTTAGGGCACAGTGATGGTGACCTTGGCCAGTGTTGTGAAGGTAACGAGAGCATTACTGCCACAGGCACCTGTAAATCCACACTGCTCCACAGGCACCATCTCCCACAGCTCCCACAGTGACCACCTTAACCACTGGATTGCCAAAAAACTCCTGCTAGTTTTTCCAGGTACATTGCTCCTCAGCCTTCAGCAGCAATGGTTCTGCAGGAACCAGAAGGAGCAAACTGAAGCTCCCTCCACCCAAATGGCAAATCCTTGTATTGAGCTGACCCCCTGTGATTTGGCAGGAAAGCAGTCCCCAAACTGATCATTTTTAGCTCATGTGTGACAATACTTAGACACAATGAGGTTTGAGGTCCAGAAGGAATTTTGGCTCTAAGTCTGAATCTCTTTTTTGCTATTGTGGGTTTAAATGAGATCCTTTAGTATTATTTGAACTCACTGTGAAAGATTCATCATTCAATCATATTTTGATCTTAATTTGGCTTTGCAGCCACTGCTTTCTTTCAAAGTCTGAGACCACAGGAAGAACTAACCCCTTTGAATTTGTTGCTGGCTTTTAAAAATGTATAACTGGGTAATAAATATTTTATACGCTCTTCTGCATCATTTTACCTCACAGGGTTCTGTTACTGCCGTAACTCTTGTTGTTACATGAAATGCCATGAAGTAGCCCAGTGTTAGTGTTATTCTTGAATAATAAAGAGGAAAAAAAGACAACAAATTGCAGTTCTACCTGTCAAATCTTAAGCTATACAAAAAACAAACAGTAAATACATTAAATATTAATGACAATTTGAGCTAGTCTGACACTTTGTCTATTTTGGTGTATGATTCCCATTTCATTACTAGTATGGAGAACCTTAAAAGTTATCATATGATACAGTGAGTATTCTGTACAAACATAATTTGTAGAGTTGCATATTCCTGAAAAAGGTGAATTGTCAAGTTTTTTCACACTAAAAACCGTATTCCACACCATTATAATTTAACCATTTCTCCTAAATTATAAGCATCAAAAATATGCAAAAGCAGATTTCTCTTATATGGCTAAAACTAAACAAAATTTAAAACAAAAAGCCCTATAATGCATGAGTACAACAATGCTGCAAAACTTGCTTTCTCCTGTATACCTTTCAGTGCTCTAATGCAGAATGTCTTGAGTGTTTTGAGGGCAAGAAGGAGGAATAAAATATTTGGCAAACCTAGACAGACATTGCTGAAATTCCCTGGGCCAACATGTGCCTGTGCACATGCCTACAGAATGACCTCTGTGGAGTTACACTCAAGAGAAAAAGACATTTGTATCCTTCTGCTTAGTTGAAGCATTTGAAAACCTGGAAAAAATGAATTGTGAAGGCTGCTTAGATCAAATGCTGCAAGTTTGCTCATTGCTCTGAGTACTCAATGGGCTACTGCTAAAGTCAGTGTGTGACAGACACACCCAGATAGGAGTAATCAGATTAAATTCAGTTATTATTATTCTTCACATGGGGTTATCAGGTCTCTGGCCAGTTTTGAATGTGGAAAGCATTTGCTGATGTAGTATTTTCAAAGTGAAACAGGGAAGAAGTGTGCAAAAAATAGTGGTACTCTTGGCTCAATACCCACCCTTGCCAGGCATTCTGTATGGACAGGTTTAAACACCAAGGTACCAACATTAAATTTTCTGACTGAATGCAGAGGCTAACATTTTATAATGTATTTTATTCAAATAACATCCTACTATAGATTTTAGTCTCCTTAGGAGCTTCTTGGATGCTAGATGCTTAAAAATTAAAGGAAGACAAAACAACTGTGCTTTGACTGATGTGGTTTTATCCTGAAACACTCATTTCATCAGGCTGCTGATTGCTGGAAACCCACAAGACTGTAGTTTTCTGTAAACACGATCTAAAAACACAGACTACAGATGCACTTACCTTGAGAGGCCATGAAGCTTCCCGAGCTACTTCTTCAAAGGGAGCGGGGTTAAAAGAAAAGGCTTTTCTTGTTGCAGCAAATAAAAGAGGCGCACAGCAGGCACAGAACTTCAGAGGGTGGGTGTCTCTGCTCGCTCCCAGCCCGCAGAGCGCGGCAGCCGCGGCGCTGTCCGCCCGTCCGTGCCGGGGAGAGAGGGAAAGAGTTCAGCCCAGAGACAAAGATGCAGCCTGCCCGCTGCCTAAATGAATGCCTCAGGACTAAAATCCTGCTTTACAATGTCTGTGTTTGTTGTGAGAATACAAAGATTCTGGGTTTAGTGCAGTGTTTGTGTCACCACTTCTGCAGGCTATCCGGTAAAGACAGAGCTAATCAAGTTGTACATAGCTCATTTCATTTAAAGCCAGGCTGGATGGAGCTCTGAGCCCCCAGGCCTAGGCAAAACTGTGCCTGTCTAAGTCAGCGGGTTTGGAACTAGTCATCTTAAAGGCCCCTTCCAACCCAGGTCACTCTGTGGTTCTATGATTTCCCTACAGCTGACCCCAGCCAACATTTTCCATGCACAAAGCAGGAAAAGCTGTCTTGGATTTCTCACTGTATTCCATCCATGTAACATTAGCCAGAGGATGTCCTCCAAGGGATGTCATGCCTACACCCAGTCCCATAAAATCATCCTGTACATTCATTCCCCCACCACCATGCCCCCCAACACTCACACCCACGCAGGGTTCTGCTGATCCCGGTGAGGTGTTTGAACTGGATTTGGAGAACTAAAACACTCTGACACTGTTTGTCCTACACAAGCACTGTCCAAAACTGCCACATATAATAATTAACCCCCTTGCACTGGGAGGAAAAGATGAGGAGAAGAAGGGAGAGTAACCTTCACTTACCAGCTCATATTCCTGCCTTGAGTGCCCAAGTTGCTGTGGAAATCATCAGGCAGGTGTGATCTGCAGGCAGCTGTGATGCACGGCTGAAAGAATGGCAGAGCCTATGCACAGAGCCCAGCAGAGCCAAGGGAGGTGCTGGGGACCATCTTCTGTCCTCTTTGCTATTGCAAGTTGCACTGTTTTGAATCTGTCTGAAGTATGGCTGAGCAGATTAAATTCCAGAGTTTTCAGCTCAGGAAGATGCTGATGAAGATTCTCTGAAGGAAGAATACAGAACACCCATCCCAAAATAAACCCCAAATTATATGGAAGCTGATTTTTATAGACTAGAGTAGCAAGTGCAAAAGCCTCAGATCTACTTATGGGTTTGGCTACATTAAATTTCCCAGGAGTTTATCATTGCCTGCTTGAGAACTCCCTGGGTGCAGTGGCAAGCACAGGCCAGCCCAGGAGCCAGACCCTGGAAACAACCAGAGAAGTGACAAAGATTTTGGTGACTGAAAAATGGGTACTGAACAAATCCTTCTGGATTAGGAAGAAGTTTGACACAACTGGAAATAAAAATTAAGAATGACCAAAAGTTTTTGCTTTCTTTCTCCCTGTTAAGGATGGGCTTCTTTGGAGCAGAGGCTCTAATCCAGAGAGCAGACACAAAGCCTACAAAAAGAAGAAAAAGTACAGGGAAAGCTCTGGATAAATATAGTAAAACTATCTTTTAAAATGACAGATGAGAATTCAAATGAGATGGCACTCAATTATCTCTAAAATTAATAGACTTATTTTACCTCCCAGAAAATTACAGGGCAAAAAAAGTCCCAGCAATTCTGTCAATGCATAAAACAATCATAATGTGTTAAGAAAAGTGCCTCAAACAAAATGTGCTGAAAGAAGACATTTCAAACATTTTAAAAGCATTTTTTTGAGAAGTCCAAGTGATTCATTTACTGACCCAGGCTCTGCCCAAGAGCTGCCCTGGCAGCACAGGCAGGCTCCCCTCCCTGCAGGAGCCAGGTTTCATTTTCCTGCTGCTCATGAAATAAACATTTCCCTGCAATAGTTCTGCCCCAAATAACTTTTTTTTTTTCTGACATTATTTGCAAAATTGCAGTAAATAGGTAACAGAAAGAAATACAACTCAGCTTTAAGTACATTTTGTGTGTTGGTTTCATTTTTTTCACAAATTTTTACATCTTTTACAATGTCCCCTTTTACCTTTTTTTTAAATAAATACTCATATATTGGTCCAAATAGGCTGCTGCCATGATTAAATCATTCTCACCAAGATATCAGGTACAGAAGACCTAATCATATTTATTCAGGCACAAAGCCATTCTTTTGGTGCCCTTTAGATATGCACAGGAGGAACACTCAAGAAATGAGGACAAACATTTAAAGAATTGTGTACTGCTACTTCCAATCATATTTTAGGGCCTTCAGAAAGCAGAGCAGCAGCACCCAAAGGAGAATTTCACCAAGACACCAAACTGGCTGCCTCTGCCCCTTGGAGAAGGCCCAGGAGAGCCATATCACTGCCTGCAGTGACTCAACCAGTCATAGTCTCAGCACTAAAATAAAGTACCTGCCTTCCTCTGCATGAATGTGCTGGGCATCTGAAACACATTCACAGCTGTTAAAAAGCAAAACAAAAACAAACAAACAAACAAACAAATATACATACATATATTCCTGCTACCTCTAAAATATTCTTGCTCCATCCCATGCTGGAAAGCTGATAAAAATTGATGGGCAAATCCTTAGAAGGCACAAGTTAGCATGGATCCATCAAAAACAATGAGCCTATCCAGATCAGGGCAAGCAGTGCTTGGCTGGAGGAGTTTATACATCTAAGACCTTCCTTTTTTCCTTAAAGAAAAATTGCATCTTTTCTATAACTACCAGCTCCACAAAGGCCCAGAGATCCATCCCTGCTGAGCTGAGGTACAAGCACCACTGCAGTTAATGGTTATTACATAAATTACTGCAGCCTGTAGGAAACATATCCACGGACTAAGACATCTTTGTCCTCAGCACAGAAGCAGAACACAGATTTTCCTCCTGAAAGCATGTAGTAATAGTCAACCAGGTGGATCAAGAGAGCAGAAATGTCACATGGCTCAGCATAGGTGCCATTTCTCAGGAGCCTAATCACTCTTCCATTTTCTACAGGCGCCACAGCAGGAGTATGGCAATGGTTTCACAAAAACCACCTTCACAAGAGAAAAACAGAAGACAGTAACAAATTTCAAAGTATTAGGAAAAGCTGTTTGATTTCTTGTCCTGCTCCCTGCTGTTCAAAAAACTGCTCTGAAAACCTGGTATTCATCCCTGTACTCAGCAGGAGAAGATGGCCCTCCCCTTTCCCCACTGTACCACTAAGGGCTCCTCCAGGTGAGAAGAAACTGCCTCTCCCCTTGTCCCCACAATCTCCAGAAGTTCAGGCAAGAGAGCTCAGCCCCTCCCCACCTGCCCTTCCCGAGCTCCAGGCAGCCAGGGACACCCTGTGCCATGCAGAACAGGCTGAGAGCAGCACACAGGCATCAGGACACTCCTGAGCATCACCAGGCAGAGCCTGAGCGCCCCTGCTGCTGAGGGGTCATCACCAATCACTGCCTGCATTCTAGACTTCCCTTCCTCGAAATATCAACCAGCATTAAAATGCATTGTTATTGCCATTTTTTAAATAGAAAATATCATAGTCTTCTTTCTTCCCTTTTCTTGTCTTCCCTTTAGCACAGGGAGAAATGCTGAGAGCGATCGTAACTATCAGACTGTGACCCCATGCAATTACAAGCCCCAAGTTACATTATTTCACCCAGTATTGCTTTTTGCACTGGAGAGAAAAAAAAACCCCAAACTCAAACCATTCCTTAAATCAGCCAGCACCTAGTAGGGCTCTCACCTTGAACTTTTGTTTGTGAGGCGTCTTGCTTCAGCGGGTGCCTCCAGGAGCTCCTCCCCTGCAAGGACATCTGCAATCACGCTGGAATTCCGCAGGCAGCTCCCGGCGCCGCCTCCTCAGGTAGCACTGCCAGGGAGCTGCTACACAAGGTGTCTTTCGTGCACCAATTAACAGCAAAACGCTACCTTTAAAATAGCAGCTCTCCAGCAACCTGATCCTTATTTTGCATTCAACTCCGCTGGGAGAAATGGGATCAAAACAGCAATCTCAAAGTGGTTGTGTAAGGGAAGAAACCTTTCCAGCATTTGTGGTTAGAGATGGAACGTGGTACTGAATACCTATCAGAGGTTTTAATGCTACCCCAGCAAGCACTGATGTGGATCAGAAACTAAATATAGATGTCAGCAAAACCAAACAATCCACTGGAAATTCATAAAGCAGCTTCCATACCAAATCTTGTCACGCAAGAAAGAGAAGCTTTTGGCATAGGGTTTGTCTGTTTAGGGGTTTGAGGGGAACAGGTGTGTTTGGTTTCTGGTTTTGTCAAGGGTTTTTTCTGGTTTTGTCAAGGTTTTTTTTTGTTAGTACATTTCTGTTGCACTGAGTTTTAAAGTTTTTATAATAATCTCTAAAATCTTGTTCTTATGCAAATACAGCCTTTGAGGGGCTGTGGGCACTGCCACTAAGCTCATGCATGTCCTGGTTTCCTACCAGTTCTGAAACAGGAGCACAAAGTCCAAATATCTGAATTGATCCCCAGACCCAAATATTTCAATTTTAATCACATTAAGCAGGTTTTAGAATAAAAAGTAGAGGAAGTTTAGCCATCAAGAGACTGATTTATGTAAGCAGACCCTGTGATTTAAGCAAAAAATAAGGCAAGGATGCAGCAGCATAAAAGACCTGGATATGTTTTGCACCAAAACCTGTACCAAAACTGACCACTGGTCATGAAGAATTTTCCAATACTAGTCTTTCACTTCTGAGTGATTTTGTTCTAAATAATGGACACTCTGAGGGAATCTTTTACATCTATCTTGAAGATCTATTCTGCTCCAGATAAATATCCTTTAATGTTAATTGGGTTTGAGTGTGAGAAAGAATAACTTTGTCTGTGGCAAGAGCACACTGGAGGTCCATAGTTTACTTGATCTGACTGTACATTGGAAACAAAGATATTTCAGGAGACTTTTCTGCTTACTTTAGTAAACTGTCATTAATCTATTCTGAGAAACTGAAATTAATTTCACCTGTTGTTATTATTTTTACTTTTGCCTGAAACCAGTTGCCACGTTCAACTGAAATTTGCAAAACATCTCAAATTCTGTCTGCTGACTAAACACAAACTGGACAGTAACAGAACTGCATCTTGCCTGTCCTTCCATGCAGCCAATGCCTCTGAACACCTCACAGGCTGAAAGCAAACAGCAGACATTCTTCCTGGGAAGGCAGAAGCTTTCACAGGACCAACCAAATGGGAGAGCACAGGAGGGGATCGGTCCTGACACTCACACGCAGGCCACTTCTAAGATTTTTGGAAATCAAAGATATTCCAAGATTATTCACTGATCTTCTCCACATTTTCAGAAAAACGCTATTCAATATTCTGATTCTAAATTCAAATTAAATAATTTATTTTTTTTTTACTTTTTGAGAGAAGGAAAAAAAGAGAAGTAGATAAGACATCCATAAGATTTAATGGCATAATGGTAACTCTATTAGGACAGCAAAATTAATTTCAGTTTCCCTGAGGTATCTTATTTTAATTAACAAATCCATGATCCTGCTCTATTAATTAGCATACTGAAAGAATAATAAGTTTTAGATGAGCTTAGTTCTGATAAAGCTTTTCATCCCCTAAAAAATAACAAAAGGAACTAAGAATCTAAATCCAATTTGTTTTCTACATTTAGTATCAATGTTTTGAAATCCTACCAATAGTACAGCACAACTATTAGTGTTTTCTTTTAATCTAAAAATGTTTTGGTTTTGTATTTACTGCATTTTAGACATTCTACCTGCTGAGAGGATGGCAGTGGCCCACTAAGTAATCCTTGCAGGATTCCAGGTGATTTTATTTTTCATATTATTTCCTATTGAAAAACACATGGGAAACACATGGAATTTATTACAATCCTCATCTACTGTGGATTTTCCAGAAAAATCATACAATAACAGTTATCCATTAGCATCCCAACTGGGTCAAATAAAATCCTAAGAACTTATCTGGGACACCAAGCTACAAAGTAAGTGTTCTGTGCCTCAGTTTGCCAGGACCATTCAGTGGGCACCAAGTAGCCACTTTATTACTGGTCCAATCACTCATTTTTATAGACGTGTTCATGCATTAGGCTGCTTAAACCATATCTGGAAACCTGATGCTTTTTTCCCAGGTTTGTTTTATATTCCACTCTTCCTGTATCACAGGTCAATTACTGGCCAAATTTTAAAAAAACCCAAAAAACAACCAAAACCACAAGTTTTTCTATTTGTTCTTGATCCTGTGAACAACAAATTTGTCCTTTTGATTCCTGCATTTTGCAGACTGGCTGTTATACAAAGTAAAAGAGAAGAGGAAAATGTTAGCAAATCACCTATGTGATTAGGTAAGCAAAAAAAGCTAAGAAGAAAACTTGTGCATACGTGAAAATGTAGAGATGCTCAGAACCTCAGAACTGCTTGTCCTGCAAGACAGGCTGCTTCTTTGACCCAGCACCATCTGTAAAACAAATGAGAGCAAAAGTGAACACTAGGAGGTTGTGTGTGCACAATTTTTCTAATTAGTATGTCTTGACAGCATTTTGCTTTCAAACTCCCAGGCTGTATATTTTCAATGTTTTACAGAAGTACAGAAGCCAAAACAGTTACTGTGTAACAGAAAGACAATTACAAGAACAGAGTTTGTAGAAATAGGTGAACAACTTAAAAGTATATGCTGTAATGGAAAAGCCATGTGACTTTCCCTAACACATCTGCCATGGCTGCACAGCTCCTCTCTCCCTCCTCCAGCACTCACAGAGAGGGGAAAGGCAGGAGCTGCTCTATTCCCATAACAAGATGCTCTGCTAGAAGCTGGTCCTGCTGTCTCCCCATCTCAGCTCCCTCAGGGTTGATCAGTTCTGTTGTATATCCCACGAGATCCCAAAGTGACACCGTGGTGCCACCCTGCCTCTGATGTATGCAGAAAATGACAGAAACTGTCTCAGATATTGTCTCGAAGGACTTTACAACCATGGACAGTTCATTGTCATAGACAACAACTTCTTGCAAAGCTGTCTAAATACTTCAGCTTTGTTTGCTTTATTTTTATTTTTATCTCCTTTTCATCTCCATGTGGTCCATCGAGGAAGCCTAATTAGCATGTCCCCCTCATATCTTTGTTTTTTCTTCAGGCACCTAATAGCAATTATTGTCTCTGTTTATTTCCTACTGTTTATGTCCCAGGCATGTTAAAGAAGGATGAGTGTCAGCAGAATTATTAACATGCCTTATCATCACTTTATTATGCATCTTTTTGAAAGGCTTTGTAATGTGTTTGGCAGTTTACTCAGAAAAATACAGAAGTTTAGAGAAACTTTCCCCTCCACACAAGAAAACAGGGCAGTGCTTTCAGAGATTCATTGCTCTAAAATTTTATCTTCTCAGAAGAATCTGAATTGTGGAAGACTAAGACCACAGAAGCAGGGAATATCCTTATTTCATATTTTATGTCTTTTGATTAGGGTTTCAACATCTCAGGATTGAAATTTTTGTTGCACTGGGAATAGGCACAAATAGATTTTTTTTAAGTAATTTTTTATTAATAAGAGTACTAAATTAATGCTTAATAATAGACTAAATAACATCTTAATTAGCCTGTGCTTTCCAGTCTCATACCTCTTAAGTATCAGGTAATACAGAACCAGATAGAGAACTCCAAGTTCCAGATTTGTTCAAAAGAATCCCCCTCCTGCTAAACACACACACACCATTTTTATGTAATAATTATACTATTTTACTCTGATACTTACAGATTGAATCCAGTAGAAAGCCAGAGAGAGACTTGGCATGTCAAAACCAGAAAATGTATTAATTATAGCAGCAAGAAATGAGAATAATGAAATAGTGGAAGAAATTCTACTCTTGTTTATTCCAGCACAATAGTTTGTTCTGGTGACTAGTATATGAGAGTGGCATATATATATATATATATATATATACATACACACACTGAACTATACATTACATTTTATGGACTCCAACATTTGGTTAATGGTTACTAAATCTGGCATTTACAGAGACATTAGGAAAGACGGTATTTATTTGCAATTTTATTTCCCTCAGAGTGAGACATGGAATCTATACAGCTGTACAATGAAGATGATTAGAATTGCCAGAAATGAAGGCCTCCTGGGAAAAAAAATATATCAGTAGCATAGTTTAACTACATGAACCATAATTGCATTATTAGCTCTGCTGTGCTCTACCACAGGAAAGCTAATGACATGATTCTGAAGAAGCTTTATAGATTATGGAAAACTATATAACCTCTTGCTCTCCCATTGACAACACAACTCATTTGAGATCCCTGTCATTAAGGGAAAGAAAGCTGTCTCATTTTTCACAAACCCTGTGAATATGTTTTTTCATGGATTTTAAACTTTAACTGTATATATGCCCATGGACCAGCAGCTGAAATAACAAAAAACACTTGTAAAATCTTAGCTGTGGCAATTTTAGCTGTGAAATGTATTTTCAGTCCCAGTCCAACACATAAATGACTGTTGCAGAAGGAGTGAGGAAGAGGCATTCCCTGATCCAGGTATGGACTTGGGAGTACCTGGAAGGTAGCAAGAGGATTATTATTATAATAATAATTACTACATTATATTATTATATATTATTATCATCATATTATCATAAACTGGAAGCAAAATGAAATGTCTGGGGCTTTTCAGAGTTCTAATTGTACTTACTGTTTAATCAGTCTGCCTACAGGTATCCAGGTACCAGGTATCCATTTTAAAAGCAGAAGACCAAAGTAATTTTCATTATGTTTCATTATTCAACATGCAA